TTAGCCGGGCGTGGTAGAGCGCGCTTGAAGTTCCAACTACTTGGAAGGCTGAGGCGGAAGGATTGCCAGAGCCCAGCAGGTCGAGGCTGCGGTGGCTGGGGGTGTGCCACTGCTCTCCAGTCTGGGCGAAGGAGTGAAATTCCAACTCAAAAAAAAAAAAGAAAAAGAAAAAGAGACGGGCTCGGTGGCTCAGGCTGTAATCCCAGCGGTTTGGGAGGCTGAGTTGAGTGGATTGCCTGAGCCCACGGGTTCGAGACCCGCCTGGGCAAATTGGTGAGGCCTCATCTCTACAATATATCAAAAATCAGCTGTGCGTGGTAGCGCACACCTGTAGTTCCAGCTACTCGGAAGGCTGAGACAGAAGGATTGCCGGAGCCCAGCAGGTCAAGGCTGCAGTGGCCGGGAGCAGCCACTGCACTCCAGTCTGGGTGACACAGTGAGTAGCAATATTTTTATATTTTCAGTTTGCAATATTTAGGTGATCACAGGGCAGTGTTAGGTTTAGGAAAAAAATATTTAGATGAATACAAAACATAACACAATTTTAAAACTTAATTGAGCGTGTTTGCCTTTGAAGAGTGAGGGGAGTTGGGAGGTTTTTTTTTTTGAGTAGAAGTCTCACTCTATTGCCCAGGCTGGAGTGCAGTGACACATTCATGGCCACTGCAGCCTCCACCCAGGTGATCCTTCTGCCTCAGCCTTCCAAGTAGCTGGAACTACAAGGTGTGCACACCATGCCCGGCTAATTGTTTGATTTATTATGGAGACAAGGTCTCACCACATTGCCAAGGCTGGTCTTGAACCCTTGGGCTCAGACAGTCCCCTTGCTCAGCCTCCCATAGTGCTGGAATTACAGGGGTGAGCAACAGTGCCCGGCCTATACTGTAGAGACGAGGTCTGGCCAAGTTGCCCAGGGGAATCTGGAACCCTTGGGCTCAGGCAGTACTCTCGCCTCCACCTCCCAAAGTGCTGGGATTACAGGTGTGAGAGCCACTGTGCCAGCTGGGAGACTTTTTTTTTTTTTTTTTGAGTTGGAGTTTCACTGTCACCCAGGCTAGAGTGCAGTGGCAGGCTCACAGCCTCTTTAGCCTCGACCTGCTGGGCTCAGGCGATCCTTCCATCTTACTCTTCCAAGTAACTGGAACTAAAGGTGCGCCGCCACACATGGCTAATTTTTTTTATTTATTGTAGAGACTAGGTCTCGCCAAATTGCCCAAGCTGGTCTCAAACCTGCGGACTCAGGCAATCCTCTCACCTTGGCCTCTCAACGTGCTGGGATTATAGGTGTGAGCCACTGCACCCAGCCGAGTCTATTTTTTTTTAAAGAGGTCTTATAGAACGATTTGACTCTTTAAATAATAAAATGTATATCTATAAAAAAAACCAACATGGACATTTGGGGAGAGGTTATAGAAGAAAACTGAGAAACCAGTTAGTAGGCTGTGAAAATAATCAAAGAGAGGCAACATTGATTGGAAGTGGGGATAAAGATAAGGGCAGATTTTTTTTTTTTTTAGTTGGAGTCTCATTCCGTCCCCCAGGCTGGAGTGCAGTGGCATGCTCACGGCCACCCCAGCGACAACCTCCTGGGCTGTGGCAATCCTTCTGCCTCAGCCTTCCAAGTAGCCAGAACTACAAGTGCGTGCAACCATGCCTGGCTAGTTTTTTAATTTACTGTAGAGATGAGGTCTCGCCAAGTTGCCCAGGCTGTTCTTGAACCCATAGACTCAGGCAATCCTCTCACCTTGCCCTCCCAAAGTCCTAGGATTACAGGCTTGAGGCACTGCACCTGACCGTGGATGGACAGATTTAAGATCTCTCTTTTTTTTTTTTTTTTTTTTTTTGAGTTGGAGTCTCACTCTGTCACCCAGACTGGAGGGCAGTGGCCGCTCCCAGCCACTGCAGCCTCGAACTGCTGGGCTCCAGCGATCCTTCTGCCTCAGCCTTCC